AAAAGACTTTTCTGAGAGCGTTTGACCATTTTTAAACAAATCAATAAATAACATCTTTTGTCACATAGTTGTATTGTTGACAGCAATCAGCTATTTGAGACAAAACTTAAGGTGTTTTCCGACTCACTGGTACCAACCGCAGCGATGTCAGATTCGTAGTTTTCGATAAATTGATTTTCAAAGTTGTTAACTTCTTTTATGTTCACCCTGTGGTTAAAATTGTAATGCTTCGAACGTCAACTTATCAACTGATAAGGCCAATTTAATTGATTATACAATAAGTGAGTGGTTGAGACAATGAGTATCACAATTAGTGGCAATGAGAGGTTTTTATCGGAAACATAACCACTCTTAGAAGTTTTATGTCGTGATTTTTAGTAATAAAAAAACGGTAGGTAAAGTAGTGTACGCAACTCGTATTATTAGCCTTAAAACACTCGTAAAAGTTTTAAAGGACCCCCCTAAGGCCTTAAATTTTAAACTCGTGTCTAAAGACTATCTAAAACTACTAATATCTGTTATTCATTGTTTTGTAAATAATTGTCACTAGAACACCGAGGATGAGACAAACCTTTAGTTGTAGAAAATATTTACTAAATATTTTGTAACGTTTACTCAATTCTGTGCCTGCAATACGTAGGGTATTACAATTGTATTATTTACCTGGGATTCAGTACTAAACCACTTTATCCCACATTTTTTAGCAACATATATTATCTTTGCTTTGATGGTTTAAAGTGTCCATAAATTAAGAGAACAGCAGAAATGATGGAACCATAAACATATAAAGATTGGATAAAGATCTATATATTATAGATACTGTATAGTAAAAACAAAATAAATAAATCACAAGTTTTATTACTTATCCCATGTGGTGGATTATATCACAAGTTTTACTGCTGGAAGCGCATCGTTCCATTCATATGAATCTACCGCCATTTTACGATATCCATAAAAATTCAATTGGTTGATGTATCGTGTACCTCCGCCGCATGTCGCAGCGTGGTTAAATATAAATAAAACTTGCTCTAAAAGAGTTTGTTTTTTCCAAATTGAATGGTTACTTGCAACGAATTCATCGAATTGAGACGGAATAGGGAGTCTTCAAAGAGGCGGTTTAATAATTCCAATGTGTTTGCTTAGCCAAAGGAGTTATAATTTTAAAGCATTACAATTGGATGAGATGTTTCTAATATCACTTGAAACATATATTTACGTTTTTAATGTTAACTGAAAAGATGGTAAATACGTATAATAGTAGGTAGTGATAGATTTCGATTTAGACGTATATTTAATTACTTTCTGTAAACTTAATGAATCGTATAATATTGATGAAGAAATTATATAGCATTAAAAACACACTTTAGCATTAAAAACGTAATTTTGATGGAAAAAAGTTTCCTATCACAACAAATTACAGTGTTGCACTTTCTAAAAGAAAACCCTTGTCGTAAATTGTTAAAGTACTAAACAAATTAAAAGACCGGATAAACATTCACAATATCATAGCTAAAGCTGATGTAGTGGGTAGAAGGATTATCGGCTTTAAATAGTAAAATGAACGAGTAGCTAATTAAAAAATTTGCTTATAATTGTGAAGTCATAGTTCAAATTAAAAATTATGCGATTTACGATTTAATAATCTTACATTCAATAATTCTTTTTAAATTATACAATCGTTGAACTGTTTCATATTTTTACGCGCTAATAACTAGCCTTCTAGATTGTTAGATATATAAATGGAATTATTAGAAATCTACATGTTCCATATATTGGTCGGGATCAACGATACCTAATATTGGAGATTCAAAGAAAAAATCTGCATAGCAAATAAAATCAATGACATCACTTAGGCTTACTAATTGTTCTGCTATTTTTCCTTTCTATGGGAGACTACGGTAAATAGGTTACACTTTCAAACATGAGTAGTTTAAATTGAATTGCGAGCTGGTCTTATGGTAGAGCTCGGGGCTTCATAGCACGAGGTCCCGGGTTCAAATCCTGCTTATCACAAATTGATTTTATCCGTGTGATAATGCGACCTTTACGACAAATCTGAAGTAATGCGTAAAACAGTTCCCGGCTAGAACCTAGCGTCCTAGGATGTGAAGGTGGGACAGTGAAAACCCAACTTCAATTGAAATAAGATTGAAAAACTGTAAATATAAAGATTTTTTGCTTGTTTTACAAAAACACGTGAACTTTGAAAGCGTAAGTCAGGCTACCAAAACTACTTAAAAGTGACCAGTGTTAATGAGGGACATGAGGATTTATTTGTAATGGTTTAAACGTACTATTAATTTAGCTGATTTTTAATTTAGCTTTTGATGATTTTAATTCCATTAATCCCTGTATTTACAAAAAATTCAATTAAATTGTGTAGTGAAATTAGTTTAAAAGTCACAAAAATATCAGTGTAGGATCCTGAAAGTTTTTCATATTTTTCTTATTTCAATCCTTCTATCAGACTTTAAATCCATAGAGAATATTTTAGCATTGAAGAGAGAAAGAACAATATTAAGCGATGAGACAGCTAGCAGCTGGAGAAACGCTGACTTGGCCATTGTTGAGTCGACTATGCATATAAAAATATGATATATACAGGGTGGTAAAAAAGTCCCAGGACAGTTAAATATTTTAAAAAATAATGCAGGTAGAGTTTTTATTTTATAAAGTCTACATGTATTGACCTTTAGGCAATTTACAAGAGTAACATATTTAACCTCACTTTAAACACAACTCATGGGTTTTTATTTTCTTTCTCTTTACGTTTGTGTTCTTTAATTTTAAATTTTTTTCATATATATGATTTTGTTTCTTTACTTGCATTGTATAAATTATATTTTTTAGGATCTTTCTTGTAGCTGCAGTATATATGATATTCTTCTTTTGTATCTAATTTATTTCTTTTTGATCTGTTGTCTAAAACTGTCATATCTGTTTTAATTTTACTGAATTTATGATTCTCATTAAGCTTGTGCTCTGCCACATATACTAGGTACATTCTTTGATTTAAACGCTTGTACATGTTTTTTGTATCTACAGTTGAATGACCTTCCTGTCTGTCCAATGCTATACTTTTTACAAATATTGGTTAATAATATTAATAAATACTTTTATTCAAGTTATCAATAACACAGCCAAAAAAGATAACAACCAAGCTGTAACATCAAAATATGAGAACTACAGTATCTGCAAAATTAAATGTTCAGATATACAGTATACACATAAAATGTACTGAAACATATCTATCAATATTTATATTGAATAAAAATGTTCATCCGATATTATATCGTAAGTTCTCTATGGCACTGTACACCAAAAGGGGCTCACGCGGAACAGGTTTCGAATCCATCACGCCCTTATTATCTGTGTAGATAAAAATCAGTACACTGCTCAACCTTAAAAGTGCAAACATACGCAAACGCGAAAAGCACATATGATACGAAATAAAAACATCAACTTTTTGGTTGTGAATAACACACTCGCACACCATACCAGATGGTTTAGTAAGGCTATTTAATTTAAATAAAGGATAACTAGTATACACAATATGGACAGAATATAAAACATTTGAAAACCTCCATAAATGCAATTAATCTTTAATTGTATTCATCACTTTTTAAACCTTTTTCGGAAAACATGAGTAATCTTACGGTTATCATATTTTTAATTCCATTTACAATGAAAAATATTTTGAAAACTTAGCAAGCAAACTAGCGCAGACAGTTATAATACAAGCTGTATTGTGTAGTTAACATTTAAATGCCACATATGTGTAATTGTATTGCAAGACCGACGCTGCCACATGTGTATTCTCAAGGGAGTCTATATTTTGTGTTTGTATTGCACCTCACTGTATCCAACCGCACTGATTCTAGCAGTAACTTAACTAATAACACTGGCAGCATTTCCCTTGTGTGTATATTTCATCATTTGTCACTATGATTTAAATCCTAGCGTTACATGGTTTTGATGTTTTAATAAATACAATGTCTAGTTTGTAATGAGCTGTTTATGGTGATTAAAACTATAGGCTTCATATGATGAAAATGTTACATATTGGTGTACAATTTTAATATTTTACCAATACTATGTTTTAAAAACAAAATAACAGACAAATTGAACAGAAAAAAAACAAATCCCAAATATAAATAAACTTATTCACAGCTGTTTGAATAATTCAAATTTAAAACTTTTGTAGTACTGAATAAATTAAACACAACATTATATAGTTTTGGTTTGTAGTTACCTTTCAAAAACTAAGTTAAATAATAATTTTGTTTGTTTACCGTGTCATTGAGCCAATCAGAACCATTCCGTACTTGAATGCACTTTCTCGTAATCTTCGGTTTACCGTGGCATCGAATCAATTCATAAATCATACTTCAGACTAATAATTCAGACCATTATGTATTTTTGTGTAATCTTATGTTTACCTTTTCATTGAGCCAATTCAGAGCATTGAGTACTATAATATCTTTAGTAACTTTGGATCTTGTAATCTTCGGTAACCAAAGTTTCTTCTGCTTGATTTGGTTTTAGTTTATGTAATGAATATTTCAGTATGACTCAGAACAGCTGTATGCTATTTTTGAACGTAAAGTTCGTTTTAATGTGATCAAAATATCGGTGTAAAATTTTGGTGATTCAACCACTACTCTGTGTTAAAAGAATAAGATAGTAAATAACCCTTAACAGCTACGAACGAAAAAAAACCATACCACATATTTAAAAGAAACACTTACAGTATTATCCGTTTTAAAATGTCCACTAATTGAGTCACTGTTTGAGAGATCCTGAATTGTGAGGATCTATACAGTATATAGTGTACAAAGCTTGATGATATCGGTGCACTCCCAAAAACAGACGTGGAGACTTCGTGGGAGTTATTAATAATTTTTTTAATCGTCTCGTTGGAGAAGATACAAGATTCTTTTACTCCATTTGTGTATTTCATTATATCTTTTCGCAATTCTAACTCTGTGACTTTGTTGCAGAATTGCAATGCCGCTGTGGCCGGGGGCTCTGCTACTGTTCATCTCCCTCTCCATCCCCACCACATCGGAGACCCAGTACCAGTTCACTCAAGCCTCCTACAACGTCAGCATCCCCGAGAACTCCCTGCGTGACACACTGGCGACCACGGATACCAAGATGGGGATGTACGGTGTCGACGCCAACGTGAGCTACCGCATCGTGGAGGGTGACCCGAACAATCACTTCCGCGTCGAGGCGAGACTCGTCGGCGACTTCTGGTTCCTAGTAGTCCGTGCGAGAACTTTCGATCTCAACCGGGAGCGTAAAGACGTATACAGACTTACCGTCAACGCAACAGTGGACGGCAAAGTGACTCAAACGACTTTAGTGGTAGTGAATATAATCGACACGAACGATTTAGGTCCTTTCTTCTTTTCGTCGGAATATACAGCGACTGTCCCAGAGGACCTGGCGGTTCATAGTAGTATAGTTACAGTGTTCGCAGAGGATGCTGATCTAGGAGTGAACGGCGAGGTGTACTACAGCTTCCCAGAAGTGACGGAACACTTTGCAGTACACCCGGTGACGGGGGTGATCACTTTAGTAAAACCTTTGAGGTATTCGGAAAGATCTGTTTACGATTTGAAAGTTGTCGCGAGAGACAGAGGGGTTGTCGACCCGAGGTTTAGGGAGAAACCTTTTGATTCTGCGATGGTTCGAGTGGTAGTGACACAAGTGAACTTACACGGACCGAAGATATACGTGTATAATCTACCCGAGCTGACGGAGCATTCGTATGTGGACGTGTACGCTGTAGTGAGGGTTATAGATAGAGACGAGGGAATAAACGGGGAAATACAAAGTCTTGAGATTGTCGACGGTGATGACGATGGACATTTTAGAATAACCAAAGCGGAATCTCCAACACCGGGAGTGAAAGGAGAAGAGTTCAATATTGAAATTTTGAAATTAGCTGACAAAAATAGTAATCCTGGTGGCTATAATTTGACCTTGAGAGCTATTGATAAAGGAACGCCATCTAGGACTACTTATATATCAGTTCCATTCAAATTGAAAGAAACTGATTACAACAAAGCTGTTTTTGATAGAGAAGTATACGAGGTTGATGTTTCTGAAAATACTCCTGTGAACTCGTCGATAATAAGGTTGAAAATTGACGAAAGGAATAATTTGGATTCCAATTTTGTTTTGTTGGAAATAGTAGGTGGAAACGAAGCCGGTGAGTTCCGAATCAACTCGAAAACCGGGGTTTTGTACACAGCTGTCCCTCTTGATGCGGAATTGAAAACTTTTTATACACTAACGGTGTCGGCTATTGACCACGGAGCTGTTCGACCAAGGAAGCAATCGTCTGCGAAAGTGAAGATACACGTGGTGGATATGAATGATAACGACCCTCAGTTTGAATCTCCTGTTATGGATGTTTGGATTAACGAAAACGAACCTGCAGGAGCGTCGACAGCTAAAGTGACAGCGAAAGATAAAGATTCAGGAGAGAACGCATACATTTCCTACAGTATCGCTAACCTAAATGCCGTGCCCTTCGAAATCGACCACTTTACAGGTTTAGTGCGAACAACGAAGGTGCTCGATTATGAATCGATGCGTCGCAAATATAATTTGTACATTAGGGCTTCCGACTGGGGCACGCCTTACAGGAGGCAATCTGAAATGAAATTAAGAGTAAGAATAAGGGACATCAATGATAATAAACCACTTTTTGAGAAAACAGATTGCGTAGGACATCTTCCAAGGCAGGTTCCCATTGATACTGATATCGTTACTTTATCTGCGATAGATCTTGATGCTGGGAATATAATTACGTATCGTATAGCCTCTGGAAACGAAGATGGATGTTTTAGATTAGATGTAACGTCTGGAATGTTGTCTGTAGCTTGTGATTTGAGAGAAGTTGCAACCTCTGATAGACACATAAATGTTACAGCGTACGATGGCACACATTTTGCCGACTTTGCTCGCGTACATATAAAACTGATTAACTCGGATCGTCCGAGGGACTTCCTGGTGAACGGCGATTCCGCTAGTTTCGACTGTAAAGACTTAGGTGTTGCAAAGAGGTTGACAGAGGTTTTGGCTCTAGCTGAGAAAAACAACGGTTTAAAGAGCAAAGAAGAAGATGAGGTTACTTTACCGAATCGCTACGGAGCGAATGTGTATCCACCGCAATTCATAAGTATGCCGAATGAGATTGAAATAAACGAATCCGTTCCTATAGACTTTGTAGTGATGAAGGTAAAAGCCGTTGATAGAGACTTGGGTTACAACGGTAAACTTATATTCGGCATCACATCAGGTGACGAAGATTCTACGTTTACGATCGATCCAGAAACAGGAGAGCTAAAAGTAGCCGGATACTTGGACAGAGAGCACAGGGAAAGATACTACTTAAACATAACAGTGTTTGATCTCGGCCAACCAAGACTCTCTTCTTCCAGAATAGTGTCAATAGTAATACTTGACGTCAACGATAACGCACCGGTGTTCGACAAAAACGTCGCGAGTTTCAGGATCAGAGAAGACACTCCCAGTGGATTTGAAATATTTCAGTTCCGAGCTAGCGATAAAGATCTTGGAGAAAACTCCCATATACGTTACGAAATTGAAACGGACACAGACAACTTTGCAATCGACAGCAGGTCGGGGATGCTCACTATAGCAGATATGCTTGACCGTGAAACCCAGTCTGTTCACGAATTGAAAATTAAAGCGATAGATCGCGCGTCCGATCCGAAAGACCCTGACGCTCTTCATTCTTACGCAGTTGTAAAAGTGATTGTTGAAGACGTGAATGATGAAGTACCAACATTTCCTTCAAAATCGTGTTTGGTGAAGATTCGTGAAGATCTTCCTGTAGGAACGGTCGTAGTGACTCTGGACGTGTGGGACCCGGACCTTGACCAAGGAGGAGTTGTTAAATACTCGATCATTCATCCTGTGGGAGAGATCCCCTTCGCCATTGACCAGGAGACAGGAACAATACGTACTACGGCACGGCTAGACTACGAAGACAGACAAATGTTCGCGTTGGTCATCTCCGGCGAAGACTTGGGAGTGCCAGCGCTCGCGTCGGAAGTTAACTTGACTATTGAAATAACAGACGTGAACGAGAACGAACACCCTCCCAAATTCGGGGATTTCGCATTTTCCGCGAAAATCAGAGAGAACTTACCGGCCGATAGTTTGGTGACGTCACTGACCGCTACGGATGCAGATTCTCCCGGAGAAGACTCTAGGATTTCGTTCATCATCATTGGAGGATCTGGACTTGGGCTCTTCAACATCGATGATAAAGGTATGTGAAGACATATATTCAATTTATATCGTGTTAATATTTTTGTAAATAAAGTTGGTTGGATATGGAGATGCTAGACTGGTGGATCCACGGCCTTCGGTGGGAGAAGAACCGGGGTTGTCAAATAGTTAGTTGTTCAAGTTTAAAGTTAGTTAGTTTTATAAGATTAAAAGTTAGATAAAACTGAAATAAGTTGAGAGTTTGGATTCACAGTTTTTGTATTTTTATAGTAACAATTATAAGTTCAAAACAATAACAAATGAATTATAACCAGCTGGCATTTAATATATTAATTCAATCCATGCCTTTGGCACACTCCGGGCGAAGGACAAACACTAATAATTCTTCACTTCTAGTGGATATAAAAGATTTAAGGGACGTACAACTTTCTTCTTCGAGCTGAGAATTACTGTAGCACTTCTTATTTTTCCGTCTCGACTTGAGTGAAGTTCTACTATTCTGCCCATTTTCCAACTTCCTCGTGGTAGTGCTTCATGGATCAGAACAGTTTCTCCAACATTTGGTTTGTTTGTTGTAGTTCCTTTTTTCTGCTTCATTTCAGTTGTTTTTCTTTCACGTAGGCTCATTAAGTAATCTTGAAGCCAGATCTTCCAAAATAAACTTAACACATTTTCTCCTTTTTTCCAAATTTCAAGAATGTTTTTTCTTGATGTTCTTTCGAAGTCCTTGTTAGTTTGGATGTTATGTGACTTTAAATTTCCAATCAAACCATTTTTACCATGGAAATTCAAAAAATGTCCGGGTGTTATGATTTCATCACTGAGGCATATGTCTTCGGAAGAAACGTACACAAGAGGTCTTGAATTCAAAATGGCCTCAGTTTCGTATAATACAGTTTCTAGCTGTGTGTATGTCAACTTCAATTGTCCAATAGTTTTCTTCAAGCATTTTTTTACACTAGAAATGAGCCGTTCGTAGAATCCTCCCATCCAAGGAGCGAATTCGGGGATGAAGTTGAATTTACACCCATTGCTATGTACAAAAGATAAGACGTCATCATCTACGAAGTTGTTTTCCCAGATATTCTCTAAGAATGAAGAAGCTAGTTTGAACTGTGGAGCGTTGTCCAAATATATCTCCAAAGGTTTTCCTTTTCTATTTACATATCGCTTCAAAGCCAACAAGAACTCACTTGACGTCATATCACTGACCAGTTCTAGGTGAATAGCTCTAACAGTTAAGCATGTAAAAATACAAATATATACCTTTCTTGAGTCATCAGTGAGTTCATTGCTCTTCACGTACAACGGACCAAAGTAATCTAGACCAGTGTATGAAAAAGGAATATTGTGGGTAACACGTTCCATTGGTAGGGGAGGGAAAGACGGCATTTTGAATGGACCTCCATCCCATCTTCTGCATTTCTGGCATTGTCTGATAATCTTAGACACTTGAGATCTTCCTTGAATAATCCAATAGTGTTTTCGGACTTCCGATAAAGTGTGTTGAACACCAACATGTTGTAGTTTTACATGATAGTCATTTATTACTAAATTGGTAAAATGGTCATTTTTAGGTAAAAGCACAGGAAATTTCATTTCCGATGACAAATAAGCATTTTGAAGTCTTCCTCTACATCTCAATATTCCATATTCATCCAAAAACAACCCCAACTGTTTTTGGAGATGATCAGTCCTGCCAAGTTTTAAGCTTTTAATACTAGTGCTGAAATGCAAGCTTTGTATGTATCTCAACCAACATAAAGTAGACTCATGAAGCTCTTCGAAGCTCAATTTGTTGGATGTAAATGGAGTTGAAAGTTTCTTGAATGCTTTAATAGCTCGTTTGCAATATGCTGTCGTTCGAATTAGTTTATCTAGAGACGAGAACTTTGTACAATCAATGTCAAAAGGACTTCCTTTACTTGTGGCTTCTTGAGTTGCAGCCATAACTTCTTGGTTAGATGTGGGAAGTTCACAAATGTTCAATGTGTCTTGGTAAGTTTGTTCTGACATTGAAGTGATTTGATTAAAGTCATTTCGTGGCCATTCATGTTCCGATGAACCTAGAAATTCAGGGCCTGACCACCATAACTGGCTATCCTGCAACTCATTAATAGTCAATCCGCGAGTCGCCAAATCTGTAGGATTGTTACTAGAAGGTACGTAACGAAACTCTACATCGGTATGTGATTTAATTTCTGAGAGTCTTCGCTCAACGAACTTTGGTAGTATCCTATTTGTATTCAACCAATGGAGAACACATTGTGAGTCTGTCCAAAGTATTTTTCGTGTCACAGAAGTCTTCAGCGCAGTTTCAGTAAACTTCAATGATCTCACCCCAATTAAAACACCAAGTAATTCCAATCGTGGTATAGTGATGTTTGGCTTTGACTTGGGGGTTACATGACATTTAGAGAAAATAAGTACTGATTTTGTCGTGGATGTATTATTACTCTTTAATCGCAAATAAACAGCTGTAGCGTAACAATCTTTAGATGCATCAGTGAAACAATGTAACTCTAAAGTATCACCAATGATTCCAACATATCTTGGAATACATACCTCAGGAATTTTAAGTAGGTTTGATTGAATCTGCATCCATACCTTTGTAAGTTCTGAGTTAAGCTCTTCATCCCAATCAACGCCTTCAAGCCACAAGTTTTGAATGAATAACTTAGCTTTCAAAACTACAGGAGTAAATAAACCCAAAGGATCAAAAATGGAAGCTACTAGTTTCAGTGCAGTCCTCTTCGTTACAACACAAGGTTCAACTTTAACTGGTTTTACAGAGAGCGTGTCCTTGATTGTATCCCATTTTATTCCCAATACACAAACACTGTTTTCATTTTCAGTAGTAACTTTATCATCAGGAATACTTGCCATAAATAGCTTAGAATTTGAGCACCAACCCCTTAGATTCATACTAGCTTGTGAAAAAATAGTTTCACTCGTTTGGAAAAGAATAACCGCATCCTGACTGGTTTGAGTTCCAGTAATCATGTTGTCGACATAAAATGAATGTTGCAAGCGTTCAGAAACCCCAGAAAGTTGAGAGTGGAGTAAGTGATGTTGTATAGTTGCATTCAATAGAAAAGGACTAGAAATTACTCCAAATGGTACTCTGCAAAATCTATACTCTTCAACATTGTTGTCTAGTGAAAGAGAGGATGTATCCTTAAGCCACAAAAAACGAGTGACATCCCTGTCAGATTCCTGTAAATTTAATTGTAGAAATGCTTTTTCGATGTCCGCAACAACACCAACGGGATTCATACGAAATCTGAGAAGTAGACTACACAAATCTTCTAAAATTACCGGTCCACGGTACAAGCAATCGTTTAAACTGTTATTTGTCTTTTTACTCTTTGATGATGCATCATACACAATTCTTAGTTTCGTTGTGATTTTACACTCATTGATAACTGGGTGGTGTGGGATATAGTGACAAACTGTTAAGTCATCGTTAGGAGGAGCCTTTTCAATAATTCCGTTACAGAGTTGATCCTTGATTGTTTTATCGTACTCTTCAAGCACACTAGATTTGTTTTTAAAACGGTACAAAAGTGAGTTAAGTCTTGAAAGAGACAAATTGTAGTTTTTTGGTAAGTCAGGGGGATACTCCTTCCAAGGCCAACCAACCGAATACCTACTATTTTCAAGCTTAATAGTTTCATTGAACTGACCCAAAGCTATATCATCATCATTTTGATGAGGGCAATCACGAATCCCTATACTATCCAAACTCCATAGGTCTTTAATATGCAAATCTTGTACAAACTGTGAGTCTGGTTCCACAAAATGATTCCTTAAATTAAAAACATTTGTAGGTTGTGACATAGTTAGAAAGGACGTAGAGTAATTATTTGATTTTGCATCATTTGGTGATTTTTCCCTCCCACTTAAAATCCAGCCAACCTTAGATCTTATTAGATACAAACCAGAGTGTACTTCGATCTTTTCATTAGTTATAAGGTCAAAGTAGAAATCATTTCCTATTAACAAGTCAATGACTGAATCCTCATTTTGACCCTCGGCAAAAGTAAGGGATGGAAACCGAGATTGTATCTGGGAAACATCAATACTAGAGGTACTGCTTAACTTTCCCGTGATTTGAGGCACTACATTACAACTTAGATTGAAAACCTTACCATCACTTAATATGAGTCCGGTAGTTACATTTTGTGTTTCAAAGGTTTTTGCATCTTTATTACCAAAGGTAAATACAGATAAAACTTGAGTGTTATTGCTCTTTAGTTTAAGTTTTGATGCAATATTAGTACAGATATAAGATCTTTGACTCCCGGTATCAAACAAAACTTTAGCAGGCTCTGTCAAGCCATTACTCGTCAAATAAACCTTAGCCGTTTGCAAAATCACATTTTCATGAACCGTAACAAGAGAAGGTTCGCTACAGACTTCGGGATTGACAGCACAATTTTCGGGAGGCTTAAGGGACTGTGAAAATCTTTTGGGACAAAGACTTCTATGATGGTTCTTCCTTTGTTTGCAATATATACAAGGTTTGCTTACCTTACAATCCTTTAAGTTGTGTCCACTCTTCAGGCAAATAAAACAGAGACCTTTGACCTTACCTTTTCTTTCTTCAACAGTTTTATACTTCTGGCATTGGTCGTTCCAGTGGGCGTCTTTGCAGAAAATACAGGTTGCAGTTCTGTTTTTGGTCGAAGGAAGGGCCTGTGTAGTTGAAAAACTACCTTTTTCTGAGCTACGAAAGTAGTGTCCGTTTTCTGATGGTGGGATGGAAGTTTTTGTTGATCCAAAACCTAATAAAAGTTGTGACTTTTCTCTAGCTACGATTATATTTCTTACTATACTACATAATTTAGTGGCATCAAGAGTATTATCTTCGTTGTTTTCCTCAACTTTTATGACTATATCCAGAGGAAGTTTCCTCATAATCAGAGAAAAAAAAATTCGAGTTGGTATCTTCGCCTAAGTTTTGTAGACACCTGATGTGTTTGTCAATAACATCGAAAAAGTTCCTAAGTTTTCCAGTGTCGTTCGATTTTAAGGGAC